GAGCTCGCAGTCAGAGGCACCGTGCCTCCATCAAGGGAAGGCGCTGGATTACCTGTGCGTGGACTGCATGGAACCCGTGTGCTTCAAGTGCACCAGGGGTACACATAAAAATCACCTAATTGAGTCAATAGACGACCTACTTCAAGAGGATGAATCTGTTTTGAACTCATGGACACAAATACGGACAACAATGCACGATAAACTCGGGCGCGTGAATAATTTGGTCTCCGGATTAGAGGATATATCGAGTTTGATTGATGAAATCATCAACCTGAATACTGAATTTCAAGGATGGAAGGATTCGCTGCTGGCCCAAAAAATGTCGACAGAGCAAAACCTCCAGGCTTGGGATGCCCCGGCCATTGGTGTGATTGAGAATAGGCGACATGAATGCAAAGAAATGCTTTGTCGTCTAAAATTTGAACCTCCTGAAAATATAGAGATATCAGAAATCAGAGCGAGGTTGTCTGCAACTTTGAAGAAATTTGATTCGTTACAGGCGAGTGGAATGACATATTTGAGGCGTAAATGTAATTAAAATTCGCAGCAGGAGTCTGCGCTGATTTGAGTTACGCAACAGGTTATAGCAGGTTTAGAGCAGATTCGGGCATGTTTGTCTCATACCAACAAGTTTGAAACTCTTAGGGTTAAGTTAAAATGTGTTACCAAGAAATTATCAATCTTACATCGTAATCAATATATGAATGCTGCAAAAGTGGATAACTTATTTATTGTTTATGTGTTGCGTACGTTTACTTGGGTATTTTTATGTTAAGTGTTATCTCGTGCTGCTAACGAGTTAATAGATTCTAAATTCTAGATTCAAGGGCCTGCTGTTGCGGCGACGGCGCGACCGTGCGCCGGCGCTGGCGCGGCCGTGCTGCGAGTGCAAAGCGACCTTCAGGCGACGCCACCGCAAGGCGCAGCTACGGGATCGACTCCTCGAACATTCCAGGTTCCTGGGCCGGTGAGTCATTGCTCAGAGAATGAGGGTCAATGTACTAATAAGGCAAAACTTATCACTCCTGTGTGGGTCTTCCTGACCCAGTTTTGCCCAGCAACAAGCCTGAAGCCATGCTACAATAACCCATTCATATTCAGAGTTTATGACCCCACTGTCATTGTGCGCTACTCAGCGAATACATTGCGATATAAAAGAGGCCTGGATGGCCATATATGGCGATAAAAATTCCCTCCCTCTGAGTCTCAACATTAATTGTCTTCTACGATCGATTCGTGTTTATTTCCTTCTTACTGAGATTCAACCAGGCAATGGATCTGGTATTAATTTTGTGCTGTTTTGATTAAAAAAAAGACTTTTACTGATTTCAGTGTATACGAGAACGATAAATAGATCTAATGGATTTTCAAGAGAAAGGGAATAAAAGCAAGATTCAGGAGAAAATACCTGTTGAGATTATTTCATATTCGAAAGGAAGCGCAAACTATTACTTCGTTTTTAAATTAGGGAACTTTAGAAGGCTGAAGGCTTTAGCAAACGTACGAAAAAGAAACGTTTATAAAGCCTCCTTTGAAGCGGAGAAATGATGATTTTCATATGCCTAACGTTTTTTTATATTAATGTACTTTTTCTACTTTTGCAAACGCATTCGTGTTACTGAATAACCAATATTGCTTATAGAATTACTCTTCATCAATATAAGTAACATAATGAAAATTTTCCGTGGAATTTCCAGACATATGAGTTTTCAACATATGAGCACGGTGTGCCTTGGACAGTCACTAGATGGGATGAAGCACAGCAAGCTGTCACCAGGCTGCGTTACAACATCAAGCCCAGTCGCCTCGTGGTGCTGTCCACCCACACCCGCCCCATCTCGGGCCTGGGGGAGCTGCTCTCCCACCTCGCCGCCCACCACACCGGCGACATCGGCCTGCTGCCTCTGGACTCCTTCTGGAGACCGGCAGGACAGGCGGATGGAGGCATGGGAGTCAGCATCAACGATTTGAGGTACATTCGTCAATAGTTTTACAATTCAAAAAAATAATAGTAATAAGAACGTGTGAAAATAATGATAAAATGCCCACTATTTATAAACTTTCACTGGCATAATATGAGTTCGTTGCAAGGAGGCTGGGGTGAGTAACCTTTTCTCAAGAATAAATTCGATTAATGATCATGAAATCAGCAAAAGAAAAAAAGAATACCAAAAATTATAATCATACAATACACAAAAAAGTGAAGCGAATGAAAATAGAGTACGTATCCATATATGTAAATATATATTTCTTCTCAGTAGTACTCAAACTTATATAAATATAGAACCATCACCTCTTGTATACTCTGAACAAATGGACCCGCCTGCTGGACGGATGGGAGCCAGTAGATGCTGGGTACCTCAATTTTGCCAAGGCATTTGACAGTGTCCCACATGAGCGGCTGTTGCGGAAATTGAAATCTTTGAGAATTGAGAGTAATGTACTCAAATGGATCAGAGATTTTCTAGTAGGGAGACGACAACGTGTCAGAATTAATGGGTATCAGACTGGGCTTCAGTGCGCAGCGGCGTGCCACAAGGAAGCGCTCTCGGGCCTGTTTTATTCGTTGCGTTTATAAACGATCTGCCAGAAGCTGTGTCTAGCGTGTGCTCGATGTATGCTGACGACGTACAAATTTATAATGCAGTGAAGAATACGTCACAAAAAGTACAACTACAAGGTGATCTTGACAGGTTAGTTGACTGGGCTGTTAAGTGGCAGCTGCGTTCAAATGCTAACAAATGTAAAGAAGTAATCCACCTTGGCAAGAATAATGAACAGCAAGATTACAGTATGAGAAGACATGGTTGCAACGACAGAGTGATGACGTCAAAGTCCACAATGGAAAAAGATTTAGGAGTTAATATCGACAATGAGTTGAACTTTTCTAAGCATTTTGAAGCTCAAGATAATAAAGCCAATCATCGACTTGGACTGATCAGACGTTCCTGCTAGTACATAGATGCAGAAGCAATGACGCTGTTATTTGTTGCTGTCGTGCGTCCGAATCTAGAGTTTGGAAACGCAGTGAGGTCACCAAAATTAGAAAAGGACGAAAATTTAGTCGAGAGTGTTCAAAGACGTGCAGCAAGGATAATTCCAGGAGTAAAAGGCAAACCTTATGAATAAAGATTAAAGATTATGGAGCTTTCAAGCCTCCGTTATGGACATCTGCGTTGTGACCTCATTGAAGTAAACAAGTGTACCCACGGTTTATGCAAGGTCCCAGAAGGATTAATGGAAATAGAAACAAGAACAACATCAGGGGCCACGGCTATAAACTAAAAACTGCATTGTAACACATCCATGCGACGATATTTCTTCTCGCTTAGAGTCACGGAAATGTGCAGCCACCCTGACAGCATCGTTGACGCTCTGAATATGAACGCCTTCACGAACAGACTGGACGAAGCTATGCAGGAGCATATGTTCAGTCTTAAGATGCCTAGCAAATTACGGACCAGGCAATAAGTCCAGCAGCTATCTCAATCAATCGTCAGCTATGGAAAGATCGGGTTCCAAATGCCGGATCCCTTGTGGAATCAAGTCACAAAAAGTACAGGAATCGGCAATAGGCCATGAGCCTATTTCTTCAGTGCCGACATTTCTATTCTATCATCCTCACATCACCCCCCCCCCCTCTAACCAAACCGACCATGCGTCATTCGCCTGTCCCATCTCCTACTGTCCTGTCTCACCCCCTACTGTCCTGTCTCATCTCCTTCTGTCCTGTCTCATCTCCTACTGTTCTGTCTCATCTCCTACTGTCCTTTCTCATCTCCTACTGTCCTGTCTCATCTACTACTGTCCTGTCTCATCTCCTACTGTCCTGTCTCCTCTCCTACAGTCCTGTCTCATCTCCTACTATCCACCACCATTACCACCACCACCACCACCCGAATGTAGTGTGTTTAATATTTAGCTTATCTAAAAAGCTTATCGCTCATAAATGGAGTGAAATATGCCATGGTTTAAGAATAAGTACAAAGTAAATGAACCATGTGAAGAAATTCTGCCCGAGCCCATGCCACATGTGTATTCTAGTTGATGTTTATGCATAGATGTTTTCACGTTTAACTATAACGTATGAGCAAGCGATGATGTATATCAGTTTACTAAATAGAGCAATAGTTGTTTCATTCACATTCAGATCCTGAGTCGCCTCTGACGTGATCTCGCTTTGGCTTCCATCGTAACTCGAATGGACCTTTAAAATGAACATCAAATTTTGTGTAAACTCATGTTTTGTCTGGTAGTAGTCACGTGTGAGCATTCATTCAATAGAAGCTTTCCCTTGTTGGTGGTTGGAACGCAAATAACGTTCTTAGCTCCAACCTGAGTTGAATTTTCCATGTTCCATGCTCATAAGTCTAGACGTGATATGGCAATTTCAACTTCATAACAACTCGGAAAACTCCCTAAATTACTGTACCTAATTCTACCCATTCTTTTGTTAGGTAATGTTTCTTGTGTGAGATGTTACGATTTGGTAGTAGACGATGCGATATAGAATCGTAGTTAAGTATGACCTGAGGGTGGTTCTTCAGTAGCGGGATCCGAGGTTATAGAGGAACAGCGTAAACGATTATATAATATACTTGTAGGATTATAGTTCGGCTTACAGTTTAGGATAATCTAAGTTTATAAGTTGGAGCTTTAACAATGATGTCTTCGGGGTCTAGTTGAAGTAAATAAATAAATGAGTCTATAGTGTATCAGCGGGGCGTTCTCCACTCAGACTTTGAGCTAGCGTTACTGTCCTGTTTGCCAGGGACAGGAGCAATGGGGTTATGGGGTATACCGTAGCGGTCCTCGCCCAAGACTGAAGTTAATCACTTGAGACAGAGCTTCTATAGCTTCGCTATCCGACGTCACCAAGGGCGTGACTTAATAAACAGGGAAGGCAAACACAAGGAAATGTTTATGGACATATCGAAGTGAAGGAGATTATCTTTCAACAAGGAAGATATTAATGAGGAAATATCCAGGGACAAATGGTATCAATAGTGTCACCTGACACATGTTCATACATTCTCTTACATTTTCCTATGCTTACAGAGACCACCTAGATACCGTGTATGGCTCCGTTTATCAAGTCTGGCACTTCTCACAAAACCGGCGCTACGTCGGTATGCAGAGTGGTAGATTGTATCCTAAGACCGATTCATATTTTAGCCGCATTATTTCTGATTCATTCTAATTGTATTAAATTACCGTTTTATCGACTGCATGTTGTGGAATTTGTCAAGTCTTTCCTAAGAAACGGCATTCTTCCATGAATTGTTATCGTCGCTTATGTTGCACATTTGATTCCTGAAGCAAGTTTGTTAGATCAGAACACTAACTAGTTTTTCTACATTTTATATACTTCAAGAAACAGTGAGATGCTCACAACTATGAAGTAAAGTTGAGTTCGAGTTCATCAAGAGCAAGTGAAAATTAAATGAAAAGCGGAAACTGTTGAGGTTCGCGAACACTTTCAAATAAGTGGGCAAAATAAATTACTCTTAACATAAAAATTAAAATCTTTCGGTAACTTACCTCGGACTTCATGCGAAAGATGAGTTACCCAAATTCCAAACAGGGGCAACTAGAGCGGGACCTTGCAAGAGCGGTGTCCGTTTTGACAGCGACCGCTACGGCGAATGGTGTCAAATTTTACCAAAGCAAATTGGTAAGTTTTCGAATATTTAACCGTAAGTTGAACCCTTCCTTGTTGAACTGATGTTAAACTGATATTGAAAATTGTTGATTTAAAAAGCAGAAAGTGACCTCGCCGTCTCTTGGCAACGATGAGTGACGGTGGTGGACGAACAGTAGCATGGATACATGGATATACCATGCCAATGCATTGCATTATCATAAGTCATTACTTTTTAGCGCATTTTCTCATTTATGGAAAAATGCACTATTGTGCTCGCCATGTCCGTCTGTCTGTCTGTCTGTCTGTCCGTCCGTCTGTCCGTCCGTGACTTCAAGTTTTCGTCGACGCGAAAATGCGCTCTCTGGCACTCACTGCAGTGAGTACTGAGTTTTATTTTTTAAGGTAATAACCACGCTACTGTACAAGTTAACATAATTTACTGAGAGCATAACTTAATGAAACAAACACGTCCCTGTCATCTCTATCAATTGGCCCGTTGAAGAGGTCGGAGGCTTTTATTAACCATCGTCACTGCGAAGACAATGAACAACGCAAACTGACTTAGCATTTATGGGCCTGGGTGATCTGCATATTGAAAAAGAAAGTTCGATTCGTTACGTACACATTGCCACAGACCATCAATGCAGCCAAATTAAGATGCAGGATGATAAAACAGCTGTCAGTGTAGGCGTCTTCAATGCGAGTTTGAATCACTAATAGCCTCGGTTAGAAGTCAATTTCTTTGCACTGTATTTTTACTTTTTATCAGAAAATTGTTAGGAGCAATTGTCATAAATTGTGTCAGAGGCATCATTACCGTCAAAATGCTGGACCTTGGATTGCCCGAGGATCACACAGATTTTTAATACTGAACAGAAGGATGCATTAAGTGAGAAAATCTTTCTTGTTCATTTGAGTCCGGCCTCTTCTTCAGACGATGTTTGTTATGTACGAGGAACGCCTCTCGACGTCAGTTCATTGTTGTGGAAGAACGGTTGTAAGGTCACCCGCTGGCACTTCCCAGACCTCTGCGACGAGGACTTGGACTGGATGATCGGCATCCTGCGCCAATTTAGGCATTCTCGGTGCGTATGAATACACTCAATATGAATTAATTCGTATTCACATTCTGGCAGTTTCTTTTACTCTAGCGCTTGCCATTTGAGAACTAAGAATTTGTCTCTTTCGAAATGAATTGATATCTACTTGAAAGAGACTTTATATATTTGACAAATATTTTTTTGAATCAGAGTATAAAATAACAAGGATATTAACTATTTCTTAATTCTTTAATTGATTGCCATCTCAGCCTGCGTGTGGTCTTACCGAGAAATGGTCTCACCGCTACGGGCGCTCGTCGGCTGTTCGAGGAGCTCCCCCAAATCCGGGAGGTATACCACGACCCTGGCGCGGCGCCCCTGACGTCAGCTGGCAGTGCACCTGATCTCACCTTCATCGAGTTGTCAACGAACAACATCATTCAATGGATGTAAAATGCTGCGGCGTGGTAGTAGGTATGTGACGGCAGGAATCTAACACAGTATATATGATGCATTTGTTCAATATTTGCCCTGAATATTGAAGGATGGAAGGGAGGAATGTTGAAGCAAGAATCGCCGGGTCTTTCCAAACGGGAGAGACCAGGCAGAAATGTGTTGAAGCGGCGCGATTTAGAGCAGTTTTTTACCGATGATTACAAGCGTGAATTCCATTTTTTTAGATTTATTGTTAAAAAAGCGTAGGTAAGCAATTTACTGTTTGTAAAATTTTGGGATTATGTTAGGATATGGTAAAGAAATGGAGAAAAGAATCACGTGGAAAGTTGAGAAGTTGAATGTTAAATAACTCCACAAAGGTTTACTTTCGAATAAATGAGTCCCATAAAATATGCATCTTATTTCGAAGTACCAATAATATTTACGCAAAAATCTATAATTTTTATGACAATTGATAACAATTGTGTATTTGTTTCAGCCTCAAATGAGAATAAACAAAAATACTGGAAAAAAACAAGGTTTATGGAGGGTAATCAACAAGGCTGTTGAACTATTATTATATCTCAACATCTGGTTTCTATGACTATTTTCTATTTTTTAATTAAAATAATTTCAAAAATTTATCTTCTAACTTCAAAGCGGAAGAATTTTTTCATTAGATGATATGCATAAAAAGAGTTTTTTCAAATATAAATATGATTTATTTAAATCCATGTTTACCATTCGTTACAACTTTGAAAGCCCAGTAAAGAAAGAACTTATTCGTGTGCACAATTTCTGAACCAACATTTGTTGTCAAGTTTTCTCCATAACATTCATAAATGGGAAAATACCAGACATATGTATTAAAAAATATACAAAAAAAGCAAATTAATTGCTTTAAGATTTACCAAACCCCCAACGATGTCTGCATGGTAGAAGTGTCTTTATGTAGTGAAAAGAATCAATACAAAAGTAAAATGAAAAAATTGAAGTTCTTTCAAACGAAAATTTAAGCTTTCTATTTCTAAAAATTGTCTTCTACTTTTCAGGCTTTTTGTGCGGTTGGTGGATCGCAAATTCCCGGGCAAGATAATTTGAGACCTAACCTGGTCTACAAGACATTATCCACTGGCGGCCACGCGGTGATATGCAGAGAAATTGAAAAAAAAATAATTTTCAAAATCATTTTAATCATACGGCTTATAGAATCTTGTTAGGTCTGTTGTGTTTTGTGCTTTTTACTCGTATAATAATCGCACAACAGCGGTTTACGGATGAGGACATGCTTGATACAACATTATATTGATATCGAATATTGTTATTGTAGCTTCAGACGAATTACGGCAGTGATTACATTTCATCCTGTTCAAGTGATATACCCTGGGGTCACCTGCCCATTTCAAGGAGACTTCACGAGTGATTAAATTAAAACAATGAACGGAGTAAATACTCACAGTTAAATTAAATTATTGAACACATCACATGATATACTATTCTATTAACCATGCCAGCGTTAGGCCTCCAAATCGCGTCGCATCAAGTGTTTGTGAAGTGAAGAGTTTGTTGTTATTGACTTGAAGCGCCAGTCGCGTCGTGCCCTCGAAATCTTCGTATCCTCGCTACCAAAATACACGTTTGACTTACACGTCAGGTTGGCCAAAACTGATTTGCGGCAACCGTACATTAGAATATGTTGGACATTTTCTTTAGTTAAATATTTCTACATTCGTGGTATATTAATATCTTCAGAATATTAATTATATACGCAGGCTGACGTTAGTTTCTGGAAAAAAGTCATAGCTCATAAAAGATTGCTGTATGAAACATGTGGCAGCATCTTTAATCATGCGCTCTAGAAAATAAGAATTTAATGAGGACAGAATGTTGTGAAAAATTATATGAATGAAGATATCAATATCCCTGGCAACGTGAGCGGAGTCTTTCCAAACGAAGAGATTTACACAACTTTGCTTGGTATCTATAATATTGAATGAAATAAGACTTTCGATAAGCGCAATTTTGGTTCCAACCTATTGGCAAATACCTAGAGAAACGTATGATTATTTCTCAGTAGTGAAATAATTTTGATAACAGTAAACACGGACGCAATTGGGAAACATGGCAGGTTTTTATCGCCTAACCATCTTCTTAACTTGTAAACTAGCCCCCGCATCAAATCTGAAATTGTTTCTACTGTATGTTTGAATTACATGGCAATTCATGCGAAGCCTTACATTGTCACGAGCTTATAGGAATGATATACCACTACCTTAATAAAGATTTCTCAGTTCCTACATCGTTTCTTTCATTTAGAAAGTGCCTGTTTACAATTACTTCTAGTAATAGGATCCTGAGCAGATAAAATTACGTTAATTTGGAAGTTGAACAACCTTTAAATGCAAATTTTATGTATTGCGTATAGCTAAAGCAAGAAATGTGAGCAAAACGGGTTACCCTGCAGAAGAGAACTAGAGCGTGAATGAGTCCGTGATCATTAGAGCATGTCAACGTAAATAAGTGATTAAAGAAAAAAACTTCATTCAGAGAAAACCGGGTATTTAACAATTTGGGAAAAAGATATCTAACACTCTCGCATCATTTCAATTACCATCGCATGCCGGAGAATATTAATATAACAAAGAAGAATATATAACGACAATATAACGACAGCTTACATCACCCAAAATGCAGCACAGTTTCATCCAGCCAATCTTCATCTTTTCGTCGGATGGAAGTTAGAAATTTACAGACATTAATTAAAGATTTACACTATCACTTCTCACAATAACGTGAATGATGGACCACAACATGAGTGCTGACCTCTTCTTCAGCTGCCTCCTTCATCCTGATGGTCCACCGAGTAGCATGGATACGACGACGCCTCTCATCAGCTGATCCTCCTGCATCACAGAGAATAGAAAGGACATGTAAAGATCCTTGTAATGCAAACATTCCAGAGTAACTCGGATGGAAAATATGTTCATGAATAAAGAAGTGTAATAATTTACAAAATAGTGTTTCATTAAAAATTGAATAACTCTATAGGCGCCTAATTCACATCATACATTCCTCATTAGTTGCACCTTTAAACAAAACAAAGAACCACCTCGTATCAATTAAAACTTCATCAAAAATTTAGTTTAAAAAAAGTGGGGGGCGCGCTGCCCCACGTTACCCTATCAGTTTAACCGTTTCCAGGAGAGAATTAGTATCACAACTTTTTTAATTCAACTCGAAAGTTCATCCAAACCTAGAAATTTGTTCCCTTGAAAGCGGCTACATATCTGTTACAATTTCACATGTATCAGTTCAGCCGTTTCTAAAATGGAATTAGTATTCATAACTTTTGATATTCAAATCGAAAGTTCTTCCAAACCTGGAAGTTTATTCACTTTAAAGCGGCAAAAAGTCTTTCATAATGTCACGAGCATCAGTTTTTTATTTTTAATTCAGCCGTTTATATGATAGAATAAGTATTCATACCTTTTAATATGCAACTCGAAAGTTCCCCCCAACCTAGAAATTTATACACTTTAAAGCGGTGAAAAGTCTGTTATAATTCCACCTGTTTCAGTTCAGCCGATACTAAACTGAAATTATTAGTCATAACTTCTCAAATTTAACTCGAACGTTTTCCCAGATCTAGAAATTTATTCACTTAAAGAGGCTAATAGCAGGCCTGGCACTATGGCGATCATAGAGATAACTCAGTTTTTTTAAGGGGAATTAAAAATTTGGTTAATATTTCATAAATATTTAAGATATAAATTGAGCAATCGTTTTTATTCTACGTATTTTTCGGCACAGATTTCTAGCCAACTGTACACACCTCCGAGTTCGAAGCCGTGAACGCAAAACTGTCGATCTGGTGCTTAAATAACTGAAAATGAATTCAGGATTAAGGGTGAAAGCGGGTTCAAATTGGCCGTGCTGGATTAAACAGCATATATACAACATTAAAAGTATAATTAAAAATTAAAATTGCGTGAAATTTTATCCTTTACAAGATTTTCTAAAGGCCTCTTGCAAACGTATTCGTCGACGAAACGAGTTCGTTACGAGTTCCATCGTCGCCCTTCAACGTCTAGCGCTGCCTGCTGGTGATGGCATCGCGGCAACGGTGTTGCCAGATGCACAGAAATTTCTTTAAAATAAAAGAACTTTCTGATTACCAGATGAAACGCAGCTATGTCCTAAAAAGTCAGTAGAGTCGTCTCTTACTATAAATTCTAGAAATAAAACTCATATAAGGTATATTTCTTTCTCAAAAACTAGTATTTCAGTAAAGAGTCGTGTTTCTCCGATAACAGAAATTGTTTCTTCACAAACAGAAATTTTCTGCATCATCCGCAGCATAGATAAGTAAGATAACCGTTGCACCCACCGCGCGTAGTCAGTCTAATCTCGGTAGCGGAGGTGAACGCTGCGCGCAGTTGAAGACTGGGCCTTTTGAAATTTAACTCTTGCTTCATGCTAACCGTCGTGAGTGTATTAGGACCACATGCACGTATTTAGCGTGTGAATTGTTAAAAAACTTTCGAATAGTTTTTTTAATGAAATGAATGTCATCTATAGAAGGTCTGCCACATAAGATAAGAAGTCTTATCTATAAAGAACGTCTTCTTGCCGTGTTAGTGTTCTAGCCAAGCCTTCTCAGAGAACGGCTATCTGAACCTGTTACAAGAAGAAACTCGTGAATAAACTGTGAACAAAACGATCTGGCTCTAGTGGATCTTAAATGCTATGATTCAACTGAACTGAATAATTTCACCAGAATTAACGTTTCACCAGGAGTCTAGGGCAACAACTAATTGATTAGGTTATAGAAATTTAATAGATCTTTGAGATTGGAGTTTTAATGTTGTAATTCTTATTATTGACCGTCAATTGCTGTAATTTGCTCAGGTTGCGTCCGTAGCGTCTTGGAGACTTTCTCAGAATGTTCGTGTTAACGTTATCGGCTTACGGCAAAAAATATGGGACAGATAGAGGGCTGCAATGAAACACTGGTGCATTTAATATTAATTGGGAAATTCAGGTTCACATCCTACGTTAACCAAAATCTCTAGTACAATAAAACAGACGCAATTCAACTTGGATTCGAACACAATCCAAGTTGAAAATATATCAGCAAACATCGCTCAAACTTCTACATTATAACAATAAACGTTTATTCAGTATACAGTTCCGTAGGGTAGGGCGAATGTCGTATGCGACCGTATTTCCAGCGACCGTATTGTTCACAACGACCGTGCCGCAGCTGAAACCAACCAACGTTTCAGTGGTTGCCGTCCGTAGTCGTCAGCGGTTGCCGTCCGTAGTCCATAACCGTCATGTTTCGCTGATATTTATATCTCACGGTCAGTCTGGTCGTAGGTTTTTTATAACGACCGTACTTCGGAATAGTGTGGTAGTCTTCATCGTCGATTATGTTACTCGAAGCTCATTGCAGTGCTTCTACTGTTGATGATCGTGACCGTATCACTACCGACTATGACTGTAACCGTACCGTGCTGATGACTGTACCGATAATATAATTCTTGCACAGTGCTCGAATCTTGAATCTTCATGATTGCCGGAGTAGTGATCGTTGGACATCTCGCGTTGTCTCACGACTGAGTTGCAGTTGGAGTACTGATATTGACTGCATACATAAATATTTCGAAGTCGTTGCTGTTCTTTGGAAATTTTAAATGCGTTTACAGGAATCGCAGCTGCTTAGATGAGTTTAATTTTTTCGCAACCGTTAATGTTCGAAAATGGCTACAGCACAATATCCAATCACAGTAGTGACTACTGCTTGTCTTATTCTATCAGCGTATTCTGTAACCGTGTAACTATAGTGAACATGAACTAATTTAACGAAATCATTGAAAATATCAAATATGTGACAAGTCGAAAAAATTGATTAAAACCTGGCACAATTTTTGTTACATTTATATCAATAATATCCTTAATCGTATCCATAGCAACGGCCCGCGGGGAAACTTGAGTATTTTTCAATCGACCAACTTCGAGCATAACTTTTGGTAAGTTGTTACTGATGGTCTCCCCTTGCAGGAATAAATGTTCCCAAGATTAAATGCCTATCAAATCAGAAATATTGGGGATAGAAAATTATGACAGTTATCGTACCAAATGGCCAAACGTAGAATTATATACAGAAAATAAAATATGTCTAAAACATATAAAATGTGTCAAATTTCATAGCTTACGTAACGTTGTAAAAATACTAAAAATCTGGTCTTCATTGGGCCGTCTTCAGTTACATTTGGCGGCAAAATTCGACGTTGGATTTAAATTTGTTATAATTTTTTAGGTATGAAATAAACATGAAAACTGATTCTTGCGGTGCAAGTAATAAATACACCACTAAATATTGAATTTCTTGCCTGTTTTGGTAATTTTTGTTAGTGGATTTAATAGTTTTCTTCGTGCCACCACCTTCTGACATTTCTAAATATAAATCTAGGATACCTTGTAATTTCACGTTGGAATTAAAATATTTTTGTAGCAATAGGTAAAGTTATAACACGAAAGCATGTGCTGCTAAAATTGGAACTGAAATCATTAGATAGTCTGATATATCTGCTATTGGTATTAATACTTGAAACTTTCCTTATTTGTCAAAAGGTTAGCTGAAATGTAGGTATATAATGCAGCTGATTGGAATGTGTCTATGTGTCTAACTCTGGAATGGGATCGTCAGTTCGTTTTTGCCCGCCGTCTGATAACTAAACAGGACTTGAATGTTTACAGCTCGTATGATGTATTTTGCCAACACACAAACCTTCTCAACATATGACTTGACCATGATTTCTTCTTAGTGTTATCTTCGCGGCATTCGAAATTGTGGGTTGAACTAATTAGAAAAAAATAGCAAGAAGAAATATCAGTACCTCAACATGGCAGCCGCAACATTAGAGTGCGACATTTGCAACGAAGAATTCGACTCTGGCAACCACAAGCCACTTTGTCTGAACTGCGGCCACACATTTTGCTTCTTTTGCATCATGGAGCTAATGACTTCATCAGATATTTGTATCTGCCCTAAATGCAGGAAAGAAACTGCCCAAGATATCAATAAAATATTGGTTAACTACGCATTAATTCCATCTGAAAACAAACCGTATCAACGCTTACCACGTTCACCGTCAGAAACGCCATGTCTTCAGCACCGCAAGGCGCTGGATTACCTGTGCGTGGACTGCATCGAATTAGCGTGCTTCACGTGCACCAGAGATACGCACGCCACGCACAAAATAGAGGCGATAGACGACCTGCTCAGTGGGGATGAAAGTGTTGTGAACTCAATGAAGAAAATACAGACCAAGATGCAGGATAAGATTTCCGGTTTTAAAAATTTAGCCATGGAATATGATGACTTTTCGAGTTGGATTGACGACGTAATCAACGTGAAGAAGGATTTGGATGAATGGAAAGAAGCATTGCAGGTACAGATAGTTTCTGCCGACGAAGATTTTCAGGTCTGGAAGGAGTCGGTCTCCAATGCCGACGAGAAAAAAAGACTTGAGTACGTGGAAATTCTACGTCGCCTACAAATAAAGCCTGCAGTATATTCAAAGTTGCCAGAAATCAGAGCTAAGCTGGAAGCAGTTGTCAACAAGTGCCGTTCGTTAAAGGTGAGTCGAATAAATTGATTATTTGTAAGCACCTCCATAAAATAGAAATAGTATTGGTTGCTAGAAAACTTCTCAGAGTTTTGCGTAGTGGTTTTTATTCAAGTGTTAAAGGGAGGCTTTCCTGGCGAGCTTGAAATTTTCTTACGTTCGGTGTGGATAATATTAACTGCTAAAGGTTCATATTCTAGTGCATTATTCAATGAATACAATCGTATGAAAAAACAATTTCGATTTTATGCTCCAGAAGCTGAAACAATCAACTTATTTACAGATGCCAGTAAATCCGCAAAACCTCTCGCCCCATGGACAACCTTTGACAATCACAAACTTTGATGAGGGCAAGCGAGCTGTAAGAAATCTGTTACCCAACAGAAAGTCCAGTAATCTCGTTGTGATTTCCTTCCATACGAACCCCATCCCGCAGCTCGATGAGCTTCTGGAGTTGATTGTTTCCAACGACACCGGCGACGTATGCTTGGTTAACATGGACTACTACTGGAGGGCTCCAATCCTTCAAGATGGAAGCTTAAATACAGTCATCGCTAAATTTGGGTGGGTCGCATTTTCTCAGTTTGTTTATGTTAATGATGGATAGCCAAATTAGTACATGGAAGCAAAGTTATATATCAAAATCAGACGAATTTTTATTGCTACTAATTGGATACGCCTTTCACTTCAGACTTATTAATTCTCCTAGTGTTTTTTTCATTTTGAACAAACCCTCCGCTTACTAATGTAGTAAATTCCAAAATTTTTAGGATTTATATTAGAACTAAATTCAGGAACTTGTTTATTACAAAGTCTCACATTGAGAGAAACGGCTTCATGTTTGATGGAAGGCTGTTCCTAAGAATTTGCAAGAAGGAACTATAGTTCAGCCACCATAACACCTTTTTTAACGACGTGCTGTCAATTTATTCTTCAATATTACAAAATCTATCAATAAAAACTGGCAATTTATTATTAGTACACCTCCTCCTCCCGTGGTGACAGATGCTGGCTCAGCGCCCTGTACGGCTCCCCATACAACGTCATGAACTACGTGAGGCAGCGAAAACGCAAGCCCCGCATGTTCGGCGTACGCTTCGATACTTTTCAGGGCCTTGATTACTGTATAAAAAATGAACTACCTGCATGTGGTTAGTATGTAGATAGTTTATTTTCTACGTTTACTGAAATGGCGGCGCTTATTTTTTTGAATTACTTCATACGACAGCTTTAAATGCCACTTTGTTCAATAAATAAGACTGCATTTTCTTTTCAGGCTAAAAAATCAGTGACAAATAGCAGCTGAAATACATCTTCATCTCGTCACGTTTTTTAAGGAAACGATCGTATAAAAATCATTCCAATGATAATTTCATTGCGAAAAATACACAGTCACGATTTTAAGAAATGTTCGTTGAATATGGACTGACATCTTGTAGCAACTTCTGCTTCACTGATATTTCATAGGTTATGACTTTACTTCATCGAAGTCTCATAATTGACCTGTCCTTAATATTCTGTGACGTGATGACCTCATTCCCAAATTATCAAGTTAGGTTATTGTTTTATCTTTCTCCGTAAGCAACGTTTATACTAGGATATTTAATAAGTGGGTCGCCTAAAACGTACATGCGTATGTATTATCCGTTTCGTTGGAAACAATAATTGCCAGTAAGGAGGAAGATTATCGCAAATAATTAGCTTGTTATTAGATAAAGTATCCACTGCAATAGTTTTCGTCCATTAAAATGCGCAAACCCCAAAACCTGTTTATAATAATTATAGATAGTTCCGTACGTGATTATAACAGACGTTTATTTCGCAGGCACACACTTATAGATGCAAGACAATGTTTTTATTTGCTAATAATCAAATTATGTTGTTGCAATTTTAATAACGAATCGCTCTTCCTTAGCTGGTTTGGAATGAATATCATTTTGCGTGACTGATTTACAATTTATGTTACAGAAGATGTTTGCTGCGTCCGATTAAGAGCAGTGCCGAACTCCCAAATCTGTACATGTGTGCCGGACAGCCTTGGCACTACACTTAAGGATCGCGGTTGGAAAATAAGCCGCTGGCACTTCCCTCACCTACGAGACGATGACTTGGATTGGATGTGCAAAATCCTACAACCCTTCAAAGATTGCAGGTCCGGATGAGGGAGCTATCAGCTTAAGATTTGACATTCAAGCCCGTTCATAGAAGACGAAGCAACCACTAAGCTTTCTCCTGCGATTTATCGCAGGTTTATGCTATATATTGGCATCCTAAAGGTTACGTTTGGTTTTGATCTCCGAACATTCTTTTTCACTCTCTTAGAAGGTCGGTTGTTACATACATTTTCCTAATCAAACTCTGAAGTAAGCGAATACGAAAAATATATAAATTATTCATTCATAATGAGCATAATCGTCAAATAAAAATGTTAGAAAATATGATAACAAAGCCTATTAGACAACAAAAAAACAGTCGTTACGACTTACGAATGAAGCTTTATTAAAAAAAATTGCACCACAGTTTTTTGTTTGGAATTTTTCGAGTTTGCAAAATAGTTATAGCAAGATTTTTTTGTGCCTATAAAAAATTATTGAAAGGTGCAGGAATTATTATGGTCTGGAGGTTAAACTTTACTCAAACTCTACCGATCTCATCGCCGCCAATAAACGTTCGAATCTGATGCAGCGTGCTCTTTCATTCTTAGGGACGGCAGAGAGGGAGATTTGAATCCCTTAAATGGATGCCCAATACTGCATCACGGTCAAAAACGGATCCCAGTTGGCGACGCTCACTTTTAGTTCAATAATTTGTGTCAGATCGAATCTTTGAATAGATATAATAGGTACACTTTGCAGTCATCTCAATTCGATATATTTTTTCTCGTGTATTTAAAATTTTCATGTGCGTATTATGAATTTATTAAGCTCGTAACTTAGCAGAATTCCGCATGCTATGTTTACCTTCATAGCAAATAACTGTGTGTGATAAGGCGTCTCGAGTGTATACGTCCACGCAACTCTCGAAAGCGAACAAAACGTTCGTACGCTTATTTTTTGATGAATTCTAAATTTAGAGTCATTCACTTGAAACGTTTTCCTAACTTGAATAATTTTGCTGGTGCATAGTATCGAGTTAGAAATTCCGGATCTAGAAGCTTTGAACCGAAATACTACCCTAAGGTTTTTTACTTTCACCCTAGCTTCAGTCTGGTCATCCCGAGCGACCATCTCACCGGGCTGGGCAGTCGCCGGCTGGTTGAGATGTTGCCGAACGCAAAATACATTTACTGTGACCCGCGCCCTAAACTCCCGACCTCTGCTTCTTTACAAGCATCGACGTCGACTGGAGATTTGGTGCCGCAAGGGTGCTTTTCACGGTCAAAATTCACAGAATTATCCACCGAAATAATCCTTCAGTGGGTGAATAATGCGACGAGTAAGTAAGTGCTAGACTGTTAAACCAAACATCATGTTTGCTTGCCTATGTTCCAAGCACAAGCGATACAATTGTTTAAACATGGATCTAACTATTGTTGAAATAGCATTTTCAATAACGAACAGGTTATCGCTCAACGACAACGAAGTAAAATACCGATTGATAGCTCATTATGTACATATATATTCGAAGGCAGGCTCAAACAATCTTAAGGATAACGAACATTATGAAATGCAAATTGCATCTTCTCCAGTTTCAAAATCTAGCAGAAATCATTTGAAAGTCTGCCGTAAGCGCATTCCTGAATTTGATTCAACGCTTTTGGTAAAATAAATGCGTGGGAATAGTCAAATGTTCTGTATAAACTAAAAAATCTTTCTATAAGGATATCAGGTGAAAGAAAATAATTATCTTCAATATGAGATTTACACTCATTTGAAGCGTGTAAAACCTATATACATCCTCAGTGACTGAAATAATAACGTAGTATACTTTAAATCGAGGGCCCAATGTAATTTGTTGATGGATCTGTCACACTGATATTTAAGATGTGAAGCCAGTCTTTTATGATTTTTGTGTCCTATTGAGATTTTATGTTGATGTACAGTAATGTCAACTTTGTTAAAATTTATTAGAAATAAATGAGCAAGTTTCTCGTTAAATTTCAGTGATTACATGAGATGATTTTTTTCGCATCACGTGGGTTCTGATAAGTTTTTATATTAAATTGTTTTTTGAACTAAACGTTAGCTTATTCATCACCCTTGGATTAAACAGAAATCGACCAAGAAGATGGGATACTTTTTACCGTGCTACGAGTTGGTATAGTTCGTTAGCTAAACTGCTCACACCATCCCGCTGCAGGCTTGAAGTCGCTTCTGACGTGTCTTCTGACACTATGTTTTATTTTGCGCATTTTAGTTCAAACTGGTGAGGTGAAATTGGAAGTGCTGGCAGCAATCATGGATCAGTGTAATATACGTGAACAAGCTGAGGGTTAGAACAAGGCCGAATCTGATAAATCATGATTAGATACTCGGTTCCTGGTCATAAGAGTTGTGCTTATGGCTGAGAAGGGGTTGTTAGATTTTGGAATACTAAATTAGTATCTGGTGAGCTTCTGACGTCTCTGTGTGGATTATGGTGTGGGATTTGATAGCGAAGGAATGGAGGATAATATTACTTCAAAACTTGATGGAACTGATACACCCTCGAACTTTGAGCACCTTATAGGAGCTTCATCTACTTATCTTTAATGAATCATTATTCATCTATCATTAATCAATTATTTTTATCATTGTTTTTGCATATAAGATATAGTGCATTTCAGTCATAGCGTCATCTCAATAATCAACGGAGATTTTTATAATTTTTGCAATGTCTGACTACGACGAATCAACATTCAGGAGCTAACAATGAACGGGTAAATTTATTTAGGCAGATATCTATCACAAAGGTAAATCTATCTAGGTTTCATAAAACAATTCATACAACTGTTATCACTTCACTGCAGAAGAACCAACTGTCTTCCGATTGATCTTAATTTTTACAACACTTCTCTTTAACTTCACTTCTTGAATGTTTGTCTGCTACAAATCTTATAATTGAGATTTAACACACTTGTATCTGTTCATTCGATCTGAAATTTTGCACACTTGCGTAAAGTCAGAGACAATGCTTGAATCAATTGACAGAATAAATAATTTACAAATTTTTTACATTTTTTCTTTAATAATAAAAGAAAAGTTAAAAAAATTACATTTAAAAATAAAATCAGAAATTGATTGTACATGTGTAACATCGGATACACTGGTCTCTTTAGAAGTGTTGTATTTAAAAAGTAATTTTTAAACGCATATTATTTCTAAGGATTTTCAAGCAAAAACTAAAAAGAGGGATCCCAGTTGCAGTTAACCAGTGGAGACACCGATAGCCCACGTATCGTGGATACCACAACCCGCTCCTTGATTGCCTTACAGCTGTAAATGGGTTTTATCGTTTAAGTTTAACCTGAATTTTTAGGTGACTAACCGATATCTGTCGAGTTGGATCTCCATCAAACTCGAGCTATATGTTAATTTATTAATTTATAAATAATATATATCATTTAAACGACAAATCAGTCAGTCTGAATTTATTTCACCCACTAAGCAGGTGTAAAATTACCATATTTCTCGAGTTCGGTGGAACAAATTCATTTGTGACAGTTATCGGTTAAATACATAATTCAGGAACGACTACACTGAATTGCCTGAAATTGTTACAGCCTCTCTGCACAAGCGTACAATTAACATATTTTGCTAATTTGGTGGAGACCCGACTTCATTTGTGACAGTTATACGTTAATTAACTAACTCAGGAACAAATAAAACCTCAACTTAAAATTTTGACGGCCTCTGCACACGGGAAAAATTAACATATTTTTCGAGTTTTGTGAAGACCTATAACTTCAAATGTGACAGCTATTGTCAACTAAGGGCAGTCGCAATTAGTTGCACGACTTGATCATTCTCGCCATTCAAGATAACGATGCAATCTTATCGCTGCATCTCATCAGACCAGACTCTACTGGCATTTCTAGTCACAATCAGAGGATGTTACAGGGAAAGCTTCGATGAATCCTGAACATCGATTCTAAGCATTTAGATGAATCCTGAACATCTACGTGGCAAAAGTTTTCTCCGATGCTGACAAGAATCAGACATAAAATTTCGTAGCAGAATGTGATAAATAATGTAATCAATTTCGAGATGAATTAAGGTGTAGTTTAAGTGTGCGTTTAAAAAATGAAAGAAAGTTTTATACTGCGTTTTAAGCCTCTGCTGCATATAAGCACGACCAACTCGAGTTGAGAGTTGAAAGGATATTAAACTGAAGACAAGCTATTGCTATTAACATGTACTGCACTCCCAGTTCTGAAAATCTTGCTTATATTTGAATAAAATTTTCGTGCAACAAGTCCTATCAACCGAAGGTTGGATGTTTATGAAAATTTGAGCTACAAAACCTGAACATGAAACTGCTTGATTTTCTTGACTGTATTAGAAAATTTTCAGTGGGTTTTTACAGCCCAACTACAGCCGTATTTTTCAATGGGGCTGTAGCCTTTATAATGTGTGATACCATGAATTTTATTACAGTGACTAAAATATAAATATTTATATAATTATTTATTTTAGAAATATATATACTAATTTCAGTAATTATATACATAATACCAATGCCGCTAATTCCATTCATGTTAATCTCTCGTCCAAGTACATCAGTATAAAATACTAACGATAAACCTCGCCACTATCGCAAAACTATGATAGTACTGCCTGCTCTAACTCAAATATAGGCGAAAAATAAACCTGAAGAAAACGTATCAAGTAAATTGCTCGAGGATTCCTTCCCTTCGCTCCATCGCCATTCGAAATAATTTTCAATCATTTTTTAATTTATGAGTCTTGTACTTATTAGGATTTATGTGCGCCAATAATATATAACGTCTTCAAACTTATCAGTCATTTTGAATGGTATTGACAAATTATTGTGATTTTGTTTTAAATAAAGAACCTTGTATTTTGGACCTAGCTTCAACCTTCTCTAAATCTACCTCAACTGTCAGCATCTGCATTGAGATGATTTTTTTAGCGAGATGCGTTGTGATTCTACAGAAGGTGCATGCATCGAGAACTTATAAGAAGTCATTTGAAAAGATAGTCCCTAATCGTTAGGTCAACCACATTCTATAAAACGAAGATATAATTTTTTAAATTTTTACAACACGGCCCGTGCAGCGTTGGAGTACGAAGTTTGCAAAGACGCCTTCGACTCAGGCAATCACAAGCCGAGCTGGCTTCCCTGCGGCCACAAGTTTTGCTTCTCTTTATATGATGGTCTTCGTGAAGTGATCATGGTGAACCGTTCATGTTCGGAAAACAGGATTGATTTACAGCAGATTGATCGACACTGAGTTCGCAATGCTCTGGGATCCTAATAAAAGACTTATCCCATCAACTCAGGCCAAATAAATCTTAATAAAATTTCCAAGTACAAATAGACAAATTTTTTGGTTTGCACAAAGCAAGAACGAAAGCTGGAGTTTCAGAAAAGTGATTCTTTACATTTTGCTCAGATATTCGAAAGGTAGTTCGATCGAAAATTACTTCTACTTATATTTATCAACTTGGAAGTGCTCCAATTTTAATTCAGATGCGCATAGAGGCTGTAGCCGGTATGCTCGATTCATCAGCAATATAAACGCTACTGTGTTACTCTCGTCGTCAAGTATGCGATGCAATGAATGTGGCTGAAGGCGATGGCAGACGACACGAAAATAATGTGTAGACGAGTTTACTTAGAATACGTTACGAATTGAGGTTGACTACCATCTTTTTTTCTTCTCTTTTGGCATGAACATACTTTTTCCTGTTGATCCTGTTGATCAATGTATTGATGTAACTCCACAATCTATCTTAACTGAACACAATTCAAGGATAGGTAGAGCTTGCACGAAGAAAATTCAATTAATCCCTTCAATCCAGAGGTTTGTGTTATAAATTTTTATCCGGTTGAGAAGATGCTGAACGAGACGATTCGGACTGAGAAATGAAGAAAGACCGTTCAAATATTTTTTTATCAATATAAATCATGGACCAATAATGTTATTTAGGACCCTTAGAATACTTTGGGATAAGATACATTCTGATTTGCAGCTCTCATCTGACGGGCTCGTGCTGCATGGTAAGCCATGGACAGTCACTAACAATGATGAAGGAGAGCGAGCTCTCGCAGCCCCTCATCAACGATAGGGAGCCGTCAGCCCAGCCACCTTCTTGTTGTGTCCACCCATGGCTGCACTAGTATAATGTTGACCCAATAGAAGTTCATTTTCGCGGATGTAGTTCGTTGTTCGCCTGTGACGTCACTGATCTCAGTGACGTCACGGGCATTAACCATTCACCTAAATGCGATCAAATCAGTCAACCAATCCGTCATGGGAATGACGGGATTGTTTACGTTTCTCGATCTACGTGACGTAACAAGAAAGCTGAACTGAAATACGGAACTTCTCGTGGGTCAACCTTATACAGTTCAACCATGATGTCCACCAACACGCGCCCCGTAAGGCGGCTGCCTGAGCCTATATGTCCCGCCTCGCCGCCTATGACACCGTCGACATCAGCCTTTTGCTCCTGGACTCCTGCATGCTGGAGGCCTGCAGGACAGTCGGATGGTGGCAAAGGAGCAACCATTAAAAATGTTGGGTAAGTTTAGTGAATATTTAATGTTATTAGCATTATTTATAGTTTTACAACCTTTTTAAAAGAAAAAAGACTGCACACGTGAAGATGTGACGTTCTCAAACAACTCTTAACAACGCTTCAATTTTTTTTTCGCTAGAAATCGTGATTAGATAGATTGATAATATATTATGAATCTATCTTAGCGTTCATAAGGGACAGGGTGCCCCGGTGTTTACAGTTTAGAGTCCCAGGATTTGAGCAGTGAGTTGCGGGTCCGATTCCAGCTGCCTGTGACATTTACGTTCAAGATCGGTGAGGTGACCGGTCGGGGGGGGGGGGATTGGGGAGGTAGGCGCAGGCCCAACAAAATTGATTGAACAATAAGTTGCACGCTCGACACCCGGAACAAGCTAAGAAAATTCTGCGATGTTCAGCATCATCTTTTATCATCAAATTTAGTAAATGTAA